TTGTCATATCCTGCTATGGCAACAGAAAACACCTCTGAATTGAATTATCAATAAGGATACTGCAAGTGAGACGCCTTGAAAAAGAATGTAGTGAAAAGTAATATTAATAATGCAGAGTGCTAAAGGTTTAATTATCGCTGGAGGAGAAAAAATCGATTCATATTTTTCCATTAATATTCGTGGAATTTGAACTTGACATGCTAATTCCAATTCCCACGTTGATAATCGTAACGCTGCACGCACATTCATATTTGTAGCATATAGATCAATAAGGTTGTCACAGCACGGATTGGGGAAGCGTCGAGCCGAGTTCGAATTCCAGTCGAATCCATTACATTTACTTACTTGCTAATACCCTTGGGAAAGGTATGAATATCCCCCCAGCTATGGGTAAATAGCAGGACAGAACTATATGGCAAATGGTCTACCGCAGAAAGAAATGGCAACCTACTGCGGGGAAAAAATTCTGCCTCGTCAGGCATGTATCGAGAGATACATGATCGCCTAAGCGTGTATCACGCATGGCACATAACTGACTGAGTGCAGTCTACTGATCAAAAATGTATTTTTTTAACAAATTAATTCGTTGTCGGCAACATCTCTAAAATCTAATAACTAATTTAGTTTATCTTAATTAAGAAGAGCTTTTAATATTCCGTAATAAAATGCTGTGTATTTATACCTCCCATGATTTTAATATTCAGCGTGGTTTCTGATATTTTTGTCATTAGTTCTTCTAAAGGATCGCTTGATATGTTTCCTTCTCGTTCTGCTGAATTTAATATTTTACATATTGAGTTTTTATCGACATTAGTTTTCGTTGGGTCAGCGATTGTGTACTCAGTACGAAGATTATGTAACACTGTACAGCTTATCCCATATTAATTGGAGAGATGATTGGCACTGCCAAGTAATCCCATTGCCACGAAAAACATCATGACCCAAATATCATGGTAACTCTTCGATTGACTAGGCTATGGGATAATCAGATTTTAGTATTCGGTGGCGTCCAGCTGGAAATCCATTGACAGGAAATATACTTAATGAATTCATGAATACTGCCATCTGGATGCTTTCAATTCTTCGAGCTCCCAGTTCTTCAAAAGGATTTGTAAGAATCGTCAGAACTGTTTTAGGAATTGCTGTGAGCGCGTGGCCAAGTGGTTAGAACGTTAATGTTCCGACAATGAAACCCATGAATGTCACTTCTTGATAATATCGGTTTTGTTAAGTTGCCCAAAAACTATTCCATCTTCAGAATTTCATGAAAACTATATCACGATTTGACCCAAGACTTGCGAGTGAAATTAGCACGATGGAACTCTTCAGAAGCTAGCACAAAAAGACAAGTTACCATTGGTTTTGTTCAAAATTTTGATCACGCCAAATTATGCACTCTTTCACAGAAATTGTAAGCATATGGCGATATTACATCGAAAGCGGTTCTCATAGGGTCACCAAAGTAAACAGCATCGAGCCTGCCCAGTACCAACATGCATAACCGCTTGGAAATATCAGGTGCTCTAAGCTTGGATGTGCGTGTGGTGTAATGGATAAAGACCCAGAATTGGAAATTAGAGAACAAAGTTCCAATTCCGGTCGGGTACATCATATTCCCATACGCACATATACGTTTGGAAAATTGAATCTACCGCTTCTCATCCATCAGAATGAATTAGCAGAACTTGTATCATTATTCCCTACCCCAAAAATCTTTCCACGTGCCATGTTTAATGGATGTCAGTTGTCAGTTATCTCATGTTAATTCCCCTCTCCAGTGCTGTTATCATTGCATGTTTTTACCAGAAGGCCAGGGCGTACAACGGCCGAAACGTTGTGATACATGTGGCGACAAAGATGAGGACAATCGTCCGAATAATGTAAATAATGTACATAATACCTCATCTCAAAAATATAAACAGATAATATTTTCAATATTATTCAAGTTTTGTTTTTTTGTGTTTTTTAAGCTCAATCTTGCACCAAATTATTTTGAACATCAGTTATACGCCATGCGTGATACACGCTGAGGCGATCATGTATCTTTCGATACATGACTGACGATGCAGATTTTTCCCGTTTGCCATGTCTTTCTGGGACAAAAAAGCTATAGAACCCGGCCTGTCTTGCTATTTACCCATAGCTGGGTGGTGATGGCGGCGGAGGGAGAAGTGGATTCATACCTTCCCCAAGGGTATCTGCACATAAGTGAATGTAATGGATTAGACTGGAATTCGAACTCGTCTCTCCGATTCCTTACTCCGAGCCGTTATCCATTACTCCACCGTGTACATCAAAACGTAATGACGTTTGTCCTTCCAAAACATATTTAGTGAGTTGTTGTTGGGTATTTGGTTAATTTTTTTCATCCTAAAAGTGAACTTGACTTACACATCAAGTTTTGCGATTTGGGTTTACATTAGATTTAAATCTACTTGACAAACGGTTGCCAAATTAAGCTACTTTTGATTTCTTGGTTTGACAAAATTTTAAATTTCGC